TGTTCCCCTCTGTTCTGGTTCCTGTGTACTTTGTTCAGTTATTTTTGGATTTACGCTTCAGTTGCCTCCATTAGTTATTAAAGCTTCCGTCTCTGCATTTGGGTCCTCTAAAAGCCTCCACACAACCGGACAAAACAAGAGTAGCAAAAAAAATCTAACAAGACTAATGCCAGAAATGTGTTGAATCCTACAGAAAGAGTATGGATTCCTTTTGCTAAAATGCTTTTAACTACAATTAATTTTAGTTTATCTTATTTGATCATGTATTTATAATTCTGAGTCAAAAATGGTCTCAATAAATTCTTAACTTGCTTTAAATTAATCTGTTTTCAGTTTTAAAAACATTAAACAAGTACGGTTCAAATAAATTATTTAAGTCCTCATTTAATTCAGTTTGTGCCCGTGATGAGTGGATAGAAACATCTGATGTATAAGAACATGTATAAAGTGGCATTTTGATCTGACAGATGCTTTATATCCTCGCAAACAAGTAATTGTTTACCTCATAAAGTGATTAAAAAAAAAAAACTCAAATAAAATTCCATATACCAGGTTTGTGACCTGGCTTACCAACTGCCTCCCATCAAACATGGAGCTTAACATGGAGTGATACCCTGTTAAAGTCTGCCGCAGTGTTTAATTCCAGGTCATTTCATAATCTTTTTGATAATCGCATCTGCACATCTCTGCGGATTCTCTCTCTGACAATCAAACAGCTGCAAGCTGGCATGCTTGCTAAATCCTCTGCGACAACAAACCAGCTATGCACACAAATGTATGCATGAGACCAGGGCATGCATGCATTTAGAGACAAATGCTTGTTAGAAAGTTTGCACATAGGCCTACCCATAATAAAATGTGCACAAAAGCACTCAAGCAGAAACACATTCTTTCTAGCACAAACTGCTCCCACATTCAATCGATCACAGACATTGTTTTAAATTAAATGATATCTTTGCAAAATCACATTTCTGTAGAGTTTGCGGCAATTCTATATTTATTTATTTTTAAGAGGAAAGAACATGTATAGATGCAGACAAGAATGGGGGTAAATAAACACAGCTTGTGTCTACTGTATTTATATAGTTCCTTCACAACCCTTTAGCCGTCTTTTCCTCATCCTTCTCTTTTCCTTTTTCCTCTTCTGACACCCCCCCACTCCGCCCCCACCCCACACACAGCTACACCCCAATCATCCTGCATCAACAGGCATGTGAACCTAGCGCTTGGTTCATCTCTCCCTCTGCCTTCCGCTCTTTACTCTCTGCCTGCTCTGTTTTCATCTGTGTGCTTCCACTCTCCTAGCTTTCGGGTAATTACCTGGCATTTGCATTGCAAAGTCCCCCCGTGCTGCATTCAGCTCCTCCACAGGTGACTGAGCTTCATTTCCCTGGCAGATAAGAGAGGGGAAAAGGAAGACAGGTAAGAGGGAAGGATTGTAGGATGGTGTGATGTTATTTTGGCTTGCAGACTGTGGGAACAATGCCCTGAGTACTCGTCTTTTTTTGTTTTGTTTTCATTGTCTGGATCAGAGAACATGGGAGAATATTTTATGTTCTCGCAGACAAACCTTTACTGTCATTACTGTCCTATCATTTGGCCTTCAATTCAAGTTGAAAGCAATGGAGAAGTGTAGCTCTAAGAGACTTTGTTAGTATATTTAACTTAGTGAGATTCAGTTTTATATGATTATTAATGATATCACATCAAAGACATCATTTGTAAGCAGAGTGAGTGCAATAAATCTACTTGCCTTTAACAGGCATTGAAGTTTTTCAAGTTCTTCCACCACCAAACACTGATATTTTTCAGTCTAATTAGTGAAAACTAGAACTTTATAACAAAGGAAGAAATAATATTGAGATTTTTTGTGGCTATTGACTTAAGTACAACTTTACTTGTTTTTCCACCTTTAAAGTCTGGAGAATTCAACACTATGAACTGAAAGATTGTGAACGTGCAACTTGATTTATGTAGAGGAGTTGCTTCCTGCAGGTGTGGCAAATGTATTAATAAAGGAAACCATAACTGTTTGATTTTTTTCCCTGCCTTTTTGCAAAAGGCAGGGACTCTTTGGTGAACATGGGCTAAAAGGCTATAATGAAAACTATCTGAACCGAAGGCAAACAAAAATATTATAAACCCTGCAGTAATAAAAAAAAAAGGCTGCCCTATTAGACTCATTTATCAGATTAAAAGTGCCTTTTAAAATAACATCTTCAAAGTTGGTAATAAACTTACTTTCATTATGTTCATATATATGTAATGTACTTTTTTTGTTTAATGGAATATTTTAGTATGTCTTCATTTCTGCAGGCGGTCTGTGATCATAAAATAAATATGGCTTGAATACTTCTCTGTGTGTAATTCATCTATATAATGTGTTTCACTTACTGAATTGAGCTACTGAAATCATTGAAGTTGAGTAATACTCTACTTTATTGAATATGACTGTATGTCTGGGCAGGGACCAATAGAGTAAAGGAATGTTTATCGGTGTATAAATAAATGCAAAAAACACATTTACAGTTTGCTATGTGAGTAATCTAGATGGAGAAAAGTGTAGAACCAAGGATTATTCTGTGTGGAACACCTACTGTACCAGGAGTGGCTGATAAGAAAATGCTCTAGTTTCTCTGACTAAACTCTTCTCTACTGAGTTATAGTGCTATTTCCCAGTTCTTTAAAAATTGCAGTACTTTGATTGAAAATACTTAGATTAGTCAAACCGGCACTAATCCTTAAAATACAAACCTTTATATACAATCAGATAATGAAGGAACTAAATGTTTTCATTTAAAAGTAATCAAATATATTTTCCCTGCTTTTCCTAATTGGACATTTATGCAAGCATGAAAACCAAAATACATTCTATTAGAAAATAGACTGATATTGGCAACACAAATCAAAATTTGTTAACACGCAGCTCACATTCCATTAACTTTTATTTACAAAATGAAATTAAGGGCATTTAGTTTTTATTAAAATGTGCTTATTTCTTGTTATTTAACCTGAATGTCTCCTTACATCCAAGTTCCACTGGGATTTTTGAGTTATGAATTGAAAACATTTTTTATATGAAATGTTATCCCCCCCCACCCCCTCCCCCCAAAATAAAAAATAAAATAAAATCTTATTTCTGCACCAGTTATTTTTCATTTAAAGAAAGAAGTACAATAAGAAATCTGTCAGTTTTCTCTTATTCCAGCAAATTCTAGACTCCAATGAACCATCATCTGCAGATATATAAACAGTATTAGCTTTTTGCTCCAGACCAGAGTCTTTGAAAAAGAAGCTGATTAGTCGGTCACTTGATTTGAATGGATATCAAAGAGGTTTCTAGAATTTCCTTCTTTTATCTGCGCAATATTGCTAAAATTAGAAATCTCCTGTCCAGGGGTGATGCCGAGAAACTAGTCCATGTATTTGTTGCTTCAAGACTGGACTATTGTAATTCTTTACTATCAGGAAGTCCACAAATTGTAGTTAAAAGCCTTCAGCTGATCTTTTCAGAACTCTGGCAAAGAAAAAGAAAAAGAGAGATCATATCTCTCCTATCCTGGCTTCTTTTCATTGGTTTCCTGTTAAATCGAGAATAGAATTTAAAATCCTCCTTCTCACATATAAAGCCTTAAATGGCCAAGCTCCATCTGATATCAGAGATATGATCGTTCCTTATAGTCCTAACAGAGCATTTCGCTCTCAATCTGCACGTTTACTAGTGGTTCCTAGAATTTCTAAAAGTAGAATGGGAGGCAGATCTTTTAGTTATCAGGCTCCTCACCTGTGGAACCAACTACCAGTTTTAGTCCGTGAGGCAGACACCTTGATAAAGCTTATAGTTAGAGTGGCTCAGGTTATCCTGGTTATTGTGCTGCTATTGATTTAGAATTCTGGAGGACATAGGGACCCCTTTTTCATTATTCTGCTTCATTCTATCTCTATTCTCCCAATCTGCGGAATCTGTTAGTTCAATCTCTAACATTATGCTCTCTGTGCTTCTTTCATCTGTTCCTGTTTGGCTGTGACTCCATCCTGGAGAGAAATATCAGCTGTGCTGCTGCCATCAACACCTTTATTTATAGATGTTGGAGATCTGTCTGTTTCTCAGTGTAGTCCTGTTTCTCTGACTATGACTGGCTGGATGTGCTCTCTTCATTCTCTGACATGGGAGTTAGCTCGGAGCTTGTGTGCCTGGCTGTGTGTTTCCTGGATGGGGCCCGCCTTTTGCAATTGCTTTTTGTATCTCTGCTTCTGTCTCCTTGAACCCCAGTCCCCTCGGCAGATGGCCGCTCACACTGAGCCTGGTTCTGCTGGAGGTTTCTTCCTGTTAAAAGGGAGTTTTTCCTCTCCACTGTCGCTACAAGCATGCTTAGTGTGAGGGATTGTTGAAGAGTCAATGAGTCGATGCAATCAACTGGTTTTCCTAAGATAGAGAACTTTGAATCAATTTGACTGAATGATCTGGTGAACTATAAAGTGCCTTGAGATGACTTGTGTTGTGAATTGGCACTATAGAAATAAACTGAATTGAATCAATTGTGCAGTGAATGTTTTGCAAAAAGAATGTAGAGAAACATAAACTTCATTCACTTAACAAAAAATAAGACTTCTTGATGAGTTTGAATAAGGATATTAAAAAATATGTCTAACACTTATTTCTTAATGGTAGTGAATTAGAAGTAGGAAAGTCCATACAGACTTCAATATTTTGATGCCAGCGAGAGGGGAACTTGTTGATTTCAGACATAAAAGGAAAAATAAAAGTTTGAATTTTGGAGATAAAAAAATCTTGGACTTTTATAGCCCACTAGAAGTGGGCTCAGCAGCTCCATACATTTTCATGTCACCAAAGGTCCAAAGCATCTATACATCTTTACTTGAACCCGCTCCACCAGAAGCACCTCCCACAAAACGGGACCGTATAATTGGTGAGTGCTCATTTGCATGCTGAATGCAGTGGATATTTATTTAAATTTAATTTCGTTCCCGCACACGCTGCTCTGCAGGCTTTTGTGCCAAAGTCATATTAACCCCTTGACTAGTTAATATGCACCGCACGACGTGGCCCACGTGCCATGAATATTCATATTGATGGCGGGTTTTTTTCCGGTGTCGTCTGGGCTGCTATCCGCTCCCTCCTGTCCTTGCCGTTTAACGTAACCCTTTAACTGCTGCCGTTATGAAAGCTTCCCGGAAGGCTCCGCCGTCGGGCTGCTTTCCACAAACTCTCAGAAAGTGCGCTGGCCTGCTCCTGGTGTACGTGTCGCTGCTCGCCGCTGAAACAATGACAGATAAGACCGTGCTGCCGAGCAGAGAGCGGGCTCTGAAGGGAAGGGAGGAGAGAATGGTCGTAGCAGGTAAATAAAGAGTATAACAACTTTATAAGATTGTGGTGTAGGATTTTTTTTTTTTGGAGCCCAGTCTGCTGGAACTTTTAAAGCTTGTTGCGTAACGTGGAAAAACACAAACACACTGCGACTTCAGCAGAGCTGATGTACAAAATAATGCAAGAAAACATCTATAACAATATTTTTCTGTCTGTATTATAATTTTATATAAAAATATATACGTATATATATATATATATATATATATATATATATATATATATATATATATATATATATATATATATATATATAT